GGGCGGGAGGGGGCAGCGGGGGCCGGGCCGATATCCCCCCTTCATCATCATCATCATCCTCCCCCCCGCCTCCTCCTCCTCCTCCTCCTCCTCCTCCGCCTTGCCCTGGAATCCCAAAGGATCATCCCCTCCCTGCGGGGGGATGGACCCGGGATGAGCCCCCCGCCCCCACCTCGCTCCTGGCTGGGATCGCAGCGGGTCCGGGGCAGATGGATTGGGAATGGAGGGGTGGGGTCTGGATTCGTGCCATCCCTGTTCCATATCCCATCCCATCCCATCCCTATCCCATCCCTTCCCTATCCCATCCCATCCCATCCCATCCCTTCCCATCCCATCCCATCCCATCCCATCCCTATCCCATCCCTTCCCTATCCCATCCCATCCCATCCCATCCCATCCCATCCCATCCCATCCCATCCCATCCCATCCCATCCCTGGAGAGCGGGATTGGGATGGAGGATTCTGAAGAAGAGGGATTTCTCTCCCATCCCATTCCCATTCCAGCTGGATTCCAAATCTGCTTTTCCAGCAGCGATTCCCGAGTTACTCATTCCAGAGGCTGAGGAAAGTCGAGGGGGCTCCTTTGGGAATTCCCGGGAAGCCGTCCCCACCTCTGCCGGGGTTTTTGTGGGATCTGGCTGCTTTTCCCACCAGTGGGAACCTGGGAAATCCTTCCCAGGGATTCCCAGGATCTCTGGGGGTTTCGGGACGCAGCAAATCCGGACTCAGGGATCCACAGGCCTTCGGAAAAGGAGGGAAAAACTTCCAGGGGATCCATGGTGGATGTTTCCTTGGAGAGCGGGGAAAGCAGGGAAAATTTCATGGATAGGTATATTATTTAATATTAAAAATTAGGATTTGGGGCCTTTTCTTTATCCATATTTCATAATTTAGAGATATTTTAATATTTAGAGACATTTTATTCTAATTAATTTGTTTCTAATTAATTTGTTTCTAATTTATTTGTTTCTAATTAGTTTCTAATTGATTTCTTTATTATTTATTTGTTTTTAATTTATTTGTTTCTAATTTATTTATTTCTAATTAGTCTCTAATTGATTTGTTTCTAATTTGTTTCTAATTTGTTTCTTCATCATTTATTTATTTTTAATGTATTTCTTTATCATTTATTTATTTATCACTGATTTCTTTATATGAACGTTTAAATTTATTGATGCATTTATTATTTATTTTATTTATTATTAGTAGCAATAATAATAATTTAATAAATTATTAATTTGTTTATTATTAAGATTTATAATTCCTTTCCAATTAATTTCTTTCAAATTTGTTGATCTGGAAGTTATTGATTTGGAATAATTTCAAATATTTTAAATATTTGAAATAATTGCTTTATTTCAGCTTCCTTTGTCAGCTCCGTATTTGCATTTATTTTATTCCTCCCCCAAATTAAAGGGAATAATAATACGAACTGCTGGAAATAATTCCCAGTTTAACCCTGGCAAAAAAGGGGATTTTCCCAGTTTAACCCTGGCACAAGACTGGGAATTGTCCCAGTTTAACCATGGCAAAAAAATGGAATTTTCCCAGTTTAACCCTTCCACAAGACTGGGAATTTTCCCAGTTTAACCCTTGCACAAAACTGGGAATTGTCCCAGTTTAACCCTGGCAAAGAAGGGAATTCTCCCAGTTAAACCCTGGCACAAGACTGGGAATTTTCCCAGTTTAACCCTTCCACAAGACTGGGAATTTTCCCCATTTAAACCTGGCATAAAGTTGGGAATTTTCCCAGTTTAACTCAGGCACAAGACTGGGAATTTTCCCAGTTTAACCCTGGCATAAAATTGGCAATTTTCCCAGTTTAACTCAGGCACAAAACTGGGAATTTTCCCAGTTTAACCCTTGCACAAAACTGGGAATTTTTCCCAGTTTAACCCTTCCACAAGGTGCTCTCCTGGGAAATCTGTCCCTGACTCCAAGACTGAGAAATTCCAGCTCCTTTTTATCCACAAAAATCCCAACTCGCTCCTCAGGATCCTTGGATCCAAAGTCCCTCCCTGCCAGATCCAACAGCCAGGGAATGATTAATCCCTCCGTTTCCTCCTGGAAAAATGGGAATTGCAGTGCTTGGAGCGCTTCTTTGGCGGGATGAGCTCCAAATCCCATCCAGCACAGTGGATTTTTCCGCAGCTGGAATCCTTTTCCCAAACCCTCGGAGCAAGGGAGGGTGGACAATTCCCATCCCTCTCTTGGGTCCATGGGAATGAAGGTTCGATTCCCAGATCTGCTGCATTCCCGTGGATTTCTGCCCCTGCTGGCGATGAGCTCAGATCCCGAGGAAGGATCCCCTTGGATCCCACCCTGCTCGTTCCCTGCGTTTTGGGAAGAGCGGGAATGCAGGTCCAGGACTGGCTGGGGGGTTGGGGAGAGCTTCCCTGGAATTCCCTGGAATCCCAGGGAATCCCATCCCGGTGCCAGAGGAACCATGGGAACGTCTCCACATCCGCATGATCCCGAAGAGCCTCTCCAGCTTTTCCCCACATCAAAGGATCACGAGGTGCAGAAATTCCGGCCCCGCACTTGGAAGCTTTTCCTTGGAAACTCAGAATTCCAGGACTGGCCCCAGCCCCACCGCTGCTGTTTGGGATGGGGCAGGTGCTCCAAGAATTCCGGCATCTCCCATCATCCCAAAGCTGCTTCCAAGGGGAATTTTTCCCTCTCCACAGCCTTTGGAGAGCGTGAGGAATTCTTCAGCGCATCCTGGTTTTGTTTGGGATGATGCAGCCGAGTGTGAGAGCTCCTTTCTTGGAATTCTTCCCATTGGAGAACTCCATTCCAGGTCGGAGCCTTGCGTCCCTCTCCGAGGGAATTCGGAGGAGTTCGTGTTGCTTCCCTTTCCGACTGTATCCATGAGCAGGGATTGAGGGAACCGGGAAGGAATGTGGGATAAAAGGAGCGTCTGGAACGTTGTTTTATGGAGCCCCTTGGGAATGGCAGGGCTTGGAGTGTTTCTCCAACAGCTCCAAACCTTTCCAAATGTTTGGATGCTTCCACTGCTGGAAATCGGCATCCTGGAATTTTCAGTGCAGGAACATTTTCCAACTCGTCCAGGAAAATCCTTGGTTTTTAATGGCGCTGCTTTAGCAGGAATGGGTGAGGAAGGAAATTTAGGATGATGATAAAATTCCCAACTCCAGGATTTTTATTTCATCATCCAGGTAGTCATAACCAAAATCTATGGAAAAGTTTGGATCTTTGCATCCCAAATGTCCTTGAAG